TTACAGGGAGCGAGGATTGGCTGCAGGATAGTGAGAAGGGGAAAAGTTATGCACTTTTGAGTCGTAGGTGGGGAAGGCAAAGTGGGCTACAGGACGAGGAGTTTTTGGAAAGAAACAATTTCAAGGGCTAAAGGACCGCGGTGACAGAGAAGTACTCGATGGTACGATTCGATGTTTTGGAGTTTAAGACTTCACAAATGAGTTCAAGAGGTAAATTTACGAGACAAGAAGAAAAGGACGAGAGTCTCGGTATAACGCGAGACATGTGCGGAGTTGACAGAAAACAGAAGCGGAGTCGAAAGAGAGGAACACCCAGACCGCTGGGAAAGAATGCCCTGCCCCGGGGGTTCGAGGGTCGCCTCTTACCCTCACCGGACGGGCAGGCGCCAGGGTGTCCGACGGTTCGGCTGGACCGTTCTGTGACTCGATTTGATTTGTTAATAGATCATTGGTTTTCACCTATTGATCTGAACAACTTTCTATCACTAATAATACATAATCGGTTATTCAATAAAGAAGACGTTCCGGGATGTAAAAGTGGCATCTGAATAATCAATCGTTTATGAAACATTTTTCCGAACTGGGCGTACCGAATCGTATCAAACTTTACAACGTGATCATGAAGACTATAAGCAAGGTTCTGACACCCATGAAATTTCATTTCTTACAAACAATTTTTGAAATACCTATAATGTTTTTTTTTTTTAGTTGAAATCTCATGGATCTCAATACTTTCCTTCTAGCCTCCATATTCATACTGTAAAGTTTGAAATGATTTGGTACACTTAATTCGATCAAAAGTTTCATAAACGAAACCCCTTTGACATCAATTGAAGTAGTAAACACTGACCTGCATTCAATTATACATATATTGTCCTATGCAATAGTTCAAGATCAAGGATTTCATCGGTCGTTTTCCTGATAATAAATTTGCTCAGATAATACTTTATGTCCGTTAGAGAAATTTTCATGTTTTATGGTAGAGCGAGTCGAGGTCCAGCCATGTTGCGATCTTACTTTCGCAGGAAGTTAATAAAGATACGTGGCTAGCGTGTGCTACTCTCATTTTGCATAATTTTGCATATCTTCGAACCTTTCTCCCCATGACTCGATCGCTGCTGTTTAGGTTTGATCGCTCTGAATAACTTGTTATCCATGGAATATGAATGCCCTCCTGCAGATATGGCGCTGCCCTAGTATAGTGGAAAAGCATTCATGTTCGTCAATGGACAATGGATTATAATCTTTTTCATTTTTATTTTCTCCATTTCAGAATATTATTATAGAGACCTTAAAGCCTCACCCTATCAAGGCAATTTCAACTGACATAGCGATATATCGTGGGGAAGCAAACGAAGCGTCATTTTGAAGGTAAGAGGATGGCTGAGAATTAGCATCGGCTTCTTAATTTAAGATCATTTCTCGCTTTACTTCGGCTGTGAAGAAACAAAAGGTCTTCACCTTGGGGGTAATGTGGAGCTTATCAAGGCAATGTCAACTGATATAACGATATATCGTGGGGAAGCGAATGACACTTTCATGGAAACAGGCAAACGAAGCGTCATTTTGAGGGTAAGAGGATGGCTGAGAATTAGCATCGGTTTCCTAGCTTAAGATAATTTCTCACTTTACTTCGGCCGTGAAGGAACAAGGTCTTCACCTTGAGGGTAATGTGAAGCCTATCAAAGCAATTTCAACTGATATAGCGATATATCGTGGGGAAGCGAATAACGCTTTCACGGGAACGGGCAAACGAAGCGTCATTTTGATGGTAAGAGTATGACTGAGAATTAGCATCGGCTTCCTAACTTGAGATCATTTTTCACCTTACTTCGGTCGTGAAGAAGTAATGCGGACATTATCTAGGCAATTTCAACTAATATAGCGATATATCGTGGGGCAGCGAATAACGCTTTCAAGGAAACAGGCAAACGAAGCGTCATTTTGAGGTTAAGAGGATGGCAGAAAATTAGCATCAGCTTCCTAACTTGAGATCATTTCTCGCTTTACTTCGGTCGTGAAGAAACGCGGAGAAGGGCAAGGTAATGCGGAGCCTATCAAAGCAATTTCAACTGATATAGCGATATATCGTGAGGAAGCGAATGACGCTTTCACGGGAACGGGCAAACGAAGCGTCATTTTGAGGGTAAGAGGATGGCTGAGAATTAGCATCGGCTTCCTAACTTGAGATCATTTCTCGCTTCACTTCGCTCGTGAAGAAACGAGGAGAAGAGCGAGGTAATGCGGAGCCGACACCGGTAAAAGAGCTCGTTCATTTCCCTAAGTGCATCGAGCACGTCCGAACGATCTACGTAAGCGGGATTGCGTGGACGATGCGAATCGCACATTGTCACCTAGAGAGGGAGAGAAAGACAGAAAAAGAGAGAGAGAGAGAGAAACCTGAATTTATCGACATTTCCCTCGCACTCTTTCCGCCACCCTTACACTTGCTCGCTCCTACTTCATTTATTTCCCAGCCTTTCCTCTCTTTCTCTTCCACCCTTTTTTATGGTGGCAACGAGAAATTTAATACACCTGTCGGTCGGCAGGAGGAAGTCGTTAAAAGTAAGGGCCCTTAAAATACCGCAGCACTTTAGCCTAGTTTCGCTGAATAGAATACGCAAAGAGTGAGAGAAAAAAGGAGGAAGAGGGAGGAGGGCATGGAGAGAGATTGTGTGTGCGAGTGGACGAGGGGAGAAGGGCGAGAGAAATGGGAGGAAGAGAAAAGAGGAGAAGGGGAGAGGGAAAAAGGATCATACCCCATACTGGACTTCTTCACCCCTTTTCGCTCCTTTTCACCCTATTCTATCGACAGGCTGGACAAACTTTACCTGCGTTTTGATTTCAGAAAAATTGATTAAGGAGAATGAGGATAATCGGTGTCATAAAGTCATGATATGATATATGAGAAAAAGCATCATCAACGTTATCAAAGAATACGTGTCTTATTTAATAACATTAGGTTTACTAATTACCCAAATAAAGAAAGGTACTTTCAATGTCCCCGTTCTTTATTATTTATTCCCTTATTTAATCGCAAGAACTGAAAATAAAGATCACCCAAATCCAAATGTAACATATGTGGTTTAGGATGATATAAAGAAGTATTGATTCAAATTCGGTAAAAAGAATACCTGTAATTACCGAGCTACTGTCATAGTTTCCTTCCATTATTCTAAGAGATACAAGTTGCTATCGGCATGACTTCGATTTTCAGGTATTGGAATGTTTTGACAAGCAGTCAATTTAGTACATAAACATGATCACATATAGTGACGCTTTAAACAAAAAGTAATTAACAAATGGAGCATCCAGCATGACGTACAAACTACGTTCATTATGTATGTTCAAATTAAATCTAGCAAACGTTTAGGCACCCCTTCCCCATCTATGGTCAGGGTGTAATGCGTGTCTATGACATGCCTACCCCAAACAATTCCACAGTTTCTACCCCAATGATAACAGAGTAATTTCATTGCGTGTCGCGACGAAAGACCAACACCAGGGTTCCTGTCCTTTAGATAAACCCGTAAATCGTCCGGTCAGTTTAGTTCACGACATCCAAACTGCTTCGCGGATAACGAAGTCATGACCTTTAATCCGTCGGTAAATCCTTGCGTGCAAGTTCCACCTGAATTAGCTGCCTTAACCGAGCTATTTAATACTCGATCTACTCCGGGCAGTGTCACGCAATGAGCACGCCGCAAACTCCGACAATTCTCAAGTTACCGCGATAATTGATATGCCTATCTGGCCTGATCTGGCACGTACCTATCGTAAAACCGCGAGCCGTCTTTGGATAGATCTTCGGGGGCTAAAGTGATTCGATTTAAAGAGGGAAAGCTATGGGATCAAAGTTTGCGGTGCCAAGACTTCGCATAGTAATTATTGAATTGTCGAAAAATTCAATAATTGCGATGGAAGGGCACAACAAGTAGTTCTAAACATTGATATTGCGCATACGTTAATGATACATCAGAATTCGACCAAATCCACTGAAACAGTCGTGGAACCAAGCCAATTGATCCATTGGAACAACTATAGATCCAAGACGTCCCATTCAATCCAATAGAACAATCACTGAACCAAGTCGCCTGGTGCATCAATTGAAGCAACTATGATACAAAGACGCTTCAGTGAACCTATTGAAATAACCATGGAACCTGGTCATCTCAATGAATCTATTGGAACAACTGTGTAATCAAGCCACTCTGACGAATCTATTGAAGCAACCACAGAACTCAGCAACCTCAGCAAATCCTTTACAGCAATTATGGAACCATGACACCATAGAACCCAACTACCCCTCTGAATCCATGAGATCTGCCATATAAGCAAGCCATCCCATGGAATCCATTGGAACAACCATGGAACCGAAGTATCCAGCGAATTTCTGATAGAAACCCAAAGCCATTCTCAAGCAAATATAGTTGAAATCTAAGTGTATTCATTGGAACAATTATAGATCCAAGCTGTTTTAATGCATTCAATGGAACCAATGAACCAAATTGCTCTAGCGAATCCTCTAAAACAACCATGGAATCGAGCCGTACCAGCAAATCCATTGAAACAACCACGAAACCTGCCCAGTAAATCTATTGAAACAACTGTGTAATCAAGCATCTCCAACGAATTCAATGCAGCAACCATGGAACCATTTCCTTTCAAATTCAGTGGAACAACGATGGAGTCCCACTAACCCACTGGATTCACTAAAATAGCCAGGGAACCAAGTTATCCTATTGAACCCATTGGAAGAACCATGGAACCAAGCAGGCTCAGTGAATTTTCGGAAGAAGCGCAAAGCCATTCTCAAGCAAATATATTTGAAATCTAAGTGTATCTATTGGAACAATTATAGATTCAAGTCACCTCAGTGCATTCAATGGAACTAATGAACCAAAGTGCCCTAGTGAATCCATTGAAACAACCATGAAATCTAGCCATCCCAGTGAATATATTGAAACAACTGTGTAAACAAACAACCCTAATGAATTCAGTACAGCAACCATGGAACCTAGTCGCCCCAACAAATCCGGTGGAGCAGCTATGGAACCATTTCCTTTCGAATTTAATGGAACAACGATGAAACCGACCTATCCCACTAAATTCACTAAAATAGTCATGGTACCAGGTCACCCCATCGAATCCATTGGAACAACCATGGGATCACACTATCCCACTGAATCCACTAAAATAGCCATGGAACCAAGTCACCCCATCGAATTCATCGGAACAACCATGGAACCGCACTATCCCACTGAATCCACTAAAATAGCCATGGGACCAAGTCACCTCATCGAATCCATTGGAACAACTATGGAACCACACTATCCCACTGAATCCACTAAAATAACCATGGAACCAAGTCACCCCATCGAATTCATCCGAACGACCATGGAACCAAACTATCCCACTGAATCCACTAAAATAGCCATGGAACCAAGTCACCCCATCGAATCCATTTGAACAACCATGGAACCGAACTATCCCACTGAATC